TCTATTTTTCGTGCACTATGATTTAGCTGTCTCAACATTATTGCAGATTACATTATGTTATAATTAATTAATAGAATTTGACGTTTATTACAAAAATATAAACCTAAAAACAGCGAGTTGAAAAGAATTTAGGTAGGTAAGTTTAAGTGAGTAAGTATTGCATAAAATAATGCGCTACATAACTGTTGTAAGAGTAGGTAAACAACTGATTATATTCAGAACCTAACTTAAGCTTTTACTCTGGCTGCCCCTCTCAGAATCACAATGATGCGACACCCACTTACATACTTTACTTACTAAAATAACATTGCAAATCGAATTAAATACCTAAAATAGCGGTAGACATTCCGGGAATAATGTTAAGATTATCCTACTAACTAAGTATTAAAAGTTATTATCTCCATGATTTATTCGCAGGAGTAACTTTTTATTCGCGAACAAAAAAAAAATACCTTCGGAAATTCCCGAACACTTTAATTATAAAAACTTTTTATTTAATAACTTTTGCAATATACCTACGTTTTAGCACAATGGAATTTTTGATACTTTTGAAATTCAATAAAGTTGAATTTCATTGATAACCATGTGGACAAAAGTATTAAATTCTAAGCTTACATTGGTAATAGGTAATTTAATGCTTCAATAAATAAATCCCTATTAATTATAGATAGTCAAAAGCTCACTCACCAGGACGATTGTGTAGTTGTATGCATCGGCAGCAACTCGAGCGCGACAGTCGTGTGGACGAGGCGTTTGCGAAGATGCGCGTGCGCGTAGCTCCCGTGGCGTCTGCGGCGCGTCTGCGAGCCATAGCGCACCCGCGCCGCCCACTGCTCCGCTGCACAACCGGCAACAACAGCCGAAAGTAGCTGCTAAGGTACCACATATCACATAACCGACATTGACCGCTATCGACTGAAACAATCTCAGTACCAGGATTAATACAGACCATTGTTTACGTCTAAACATTGGCACGGTACCGCTGACCACTTTAACCCTTTTACTTCAACCACCACCACTGGTGGCAGATTTAGTGGTGGTCGTTGGGAATAAACCGCTTTTACGTCTAATTGAACTCTACAAAAAGTTTCAAGTAAAACAATTATGATAGACGTTGAAAAATTATATCAATTCTAATAGGTACAACAACAGAATAACTACAATCTCAAACATTTTTTTATAGAATAACATTAGTTTTTTGCATTCAAATAAACAGATTTTTTTTAAATAACTCATACTTAACTCTAAACAAAAAAGAAATATAAACACTTATTACTCAAAAATAAAAGTGTGTCCGCGAGGCAAAGAGGCGAGGATGCTGGCTGCATTTCCTCGCTGGATAGCAATACTAAGCTTTTGTGCAAGGAAAGAGCCAGCATTTAAATTTTCCGAAATTTTAATTAATTTAGGGGAAATGGTCCGAAACAGTAATTGAGCATTCGGTCCCCAGGGTCCGAAGGTCTCGACACCAAAAGGCGCAAATATGTACCTACCTAATCATTAGAAAGTGACTCATAATTGCGCCGTTTGGCTAATTCAGTCGACTCCGCTGCAGCCCCAGCTTTAGCAACTGATTCCCTGAGGTGGAAAGGGACTAAAGTATCGACACATGTAGCGTCCCAAACTAAAGCCCGTCCCCGTTCCCAGGGAACCAGAGTGAGACCGTCAGGTCTCTTGCTATCATCACGGGCCAATCCACGTGGTTCTAACGTGGAAGGAACGTTGATGCTGGCAAGGGCTCTCCTGATGGCGTCGATGAGAGCAGCGTGTCTGGCGAGACGACCAGCACTTTGCTGGCAACAGATACCTTGGTGACCGAATTGGTCCACCTCTTTGCCATAGGGACACGTATGGGGTACTACACGGATTGTGTATTACAGGTGTATTACAGAATTTACAGTTAGTCTATTATAAATAATTCACGCGTACTAAATACGAGAGTGTGGCTGTAAGTAAGTAGGTATTGTTTGCATTCTTATTCGAAAAATAAATTAGATTAATATTTTTACCTAAGAGGTAGCTAATTAAATTTTAAAGATAATGACTATTCGAATCATAGTTGATTTGCCAAATTAATATTTGATATCATAGGGCTAAAATCGCACGCAAACAGCTAATAGAGCTTTCCTGTCTTGACGAATCGATGACGATGGTTTGAGCTCTTTAAAAATGTGTAGGGTTCACAACATTGGAGTTGAAGAGTGGAGTGAGCTAGTTTTTTACTTCAGAGTTGTAGTAAACTCTACTTCAAACGCCCGTATACACAATTTCAAGGATCCTAGCATAGTAAAACGATGAATGATGATTCTTATATAGGTCCTATATATAGGGCACCGCAATAGAGGGTGCTAAAGGTGACTAAAAACGACCTACCTATTTTCATAAGCTCATAAATCTTACGCTCTATCAGAAATACATGTTTTTCTTTTAAAAAATATGACTGTACTCACTTACTTACCTAATAACACTAAGCAGTGTTATAAGCAAAACTGATTTTACGTGTTCAATGTGAAATTTTGTAGGTAGGTAATCATTTTCAGTATGCATACCGCGTTTGTCAGCGCCATATAGGAAACAAGCACACCGACAAGCGCAAAAGTGAAACGCCCCTAGTATTACAAACGATTGATTCATGTCCACTACCGCCTTAATTTCCGGAAGATATAACTTGTGCAACAGTCCCATCTTTAGACACCTGCATAATTGTTATATCATTACCCTGATGTAATTATACGACTTTGCTACACCATAAGAACATTATTTAGATGCCAGGTTATATTCCTAGCTAAGTCAAACCAGTAGTGCCAGTAGGTACTTACTTACTCAAAACATAAAGAGCATTTTTAAAGTAAGATAAAATTTTATTTTAGGTGCTAATGTACGTAACTTAGCTAGATGGGTAAAAATAAGATAGAGTAATAAAGAGTACCCTTCTGGTAGGAAGAGCCCTGTAAAATCCAGTATCTAACCCCCTCGGTATGCAACTTTTATGCATTTTCTTGACGAAAAAAAGACAAGAGCAAAAAAATACAAAAAAGTACTGATAAATGCTTAATGGTTCTATATTGGCTCACATAAAATTCTAAATCCTATTCTTTGTCTTACTACCGATTTGTGTTCATAATAATCTCTCTTCATAATTTTATTTTTCATACTTTTTTTATTCATACATTTTTATTACTACCATCGGAGCTCATAACAGTTAGTAATCATAATTTTTTTATCAATACTGTTACTACCAAGAACCATTTAAAATACATAATTTTTATTTTCAGATCTTTTTTCTTCATAACATTCATTGATCATATTGTTTTAATTAATAATGTTGTTACTAAGAACATNCATACAACAAAATAATTATGCCCTTTCCAAAGCAGAATAATCGTTATTTTATCCATAACTCGATGAAATCAGACACATTACTGAACTTTAATTATTATGGCAGGTTTGTTACAAATTAATTATTATTTCAAAATATGTATTTTACTGACCTTTTATTTTCCTTATTTTTCAAAAAATGTGTATTTATCCTCGTCGCCACTTGTAAATGTGCACACTGGCTCACCGTCACACCAAGCGTCTCACTGCGGCACGTCCGTACTCGTCGGCGTCTGCCGTACGACTGACTCGTCCCACTCGTAACGACGTCACGTGACTGCCTATCACTTGTGTACGTGAGACAGCGTATTGTATCTATCTAGTACGTAGATACAAACACTACAAGCCCCATAAAATCCAGTATCTACCCCCTCGGTATGCAATTTTTATGCATTTTCCTGACGAAAAAAAGACAAAGAGCAAAAAAATACAAAAAAAAGTACTAATAAATGCTTAATCTATAAGATACGCACATTTAAATGAAAGTTTAATTTCAGTCAAATAAATATCGTTCACTATTGGTATTGGATAAAGACTTCCCTCAAAGATTTCCACTTGCCCTTGCCCTGAGCTGTCTGCAACTAAGTGCTTCGCCAGATCGCCAGTTCACCGAGGGAGAAGCCTGCCTAAATTACGTTTTCCGATCTGTGGTCGCCACTCGAGAACTTTCATATCCCAACGGCCATCAGTTTGAACCAAAACCACACCTTTGGGTAGATTCGTTACAAAGCAAGCATGCATGTCGAGTAACTCGCTCGTTGGGTAAATAAAGCGGGCACTCCGAATCGTACTCGCTCCCTTGTATACAGGGTGTTAGGTAAATGGTATGGTGAAGTCAGAAAATTGATATCACCATTCAAATTTTTTAAATTTTCATACAAAATAAAATTTATAAAATCAGATTTGTATGAAAATTAAAATAATTAAAATGATGGTATCAATTTTCTGACTTCACCATACCATTTGCATATGTTAACATGGGTTAGTGTCGGCTCATATACCCATTTACCTAACATCCTGTATATACAATTTTACATAGCTAAGAACTATTGAACTACCGAAAATTGAAGCGACGATAGCCGAACGGTAAAGGTGTCGGACTGACTCGTTGATTCCGAGGAACGCGGTTCGATTCCCGCCGCCGCTAAACTATTGTGGTGAGCCCACTCGTAACACAAGCATTTAGCTTACCACGAGGGGCTAACGGGATTATAGTACCTAGGTATTAGCCTAGCTCGCAGACTAGCTAATGGCCGCCGGAGCAGAAAAGTTCTTGAGTGGCGACCACAAGCCCGAAGACGTGTGGGCAGGCCCCCTATTAGGCGGACCGACGATCTGGTGAAGGTCGCGGGAGGTGCCTGGATGCGGGCGGCGCAGGACCGGTCTTAGTGGAAATCCTTGGGGGAGGCCTTTGACCAGCAGTGGACGTCATTCAGCTGAAACTAATTTAATTATGAGGTATTATCTTTTCAAGTCAAATACTTTTAAGTACTCTCTGATCATACATACCCTAAGCTATTATGCTCTAGGACCTAAATGTGTTTCCCTAAAAAATTACAACTAGCCAGTGCCTTTTTGGAATATGGTGTTTTTAAGTTGTTGTTAAAATAATAAATCAGAAAAATTACACATTATTAACTTTATTGGTTATATGAGTCATAAAAACATCCAATGAATCTTCAGCAGTGTTGTCTTTTGATGGGGCATTCCCATATTCTTCTACAAGCTTCATGTGTTGTTCAAGATTTTCAACATCATTGGTCTCAGAGTCAAAGTATTTGTCTTCTGCATCTTGAGATAGTTGGTCTAAGTCATCATACTGTTCATCATTATCAATACTGCTATAATCAACATCTGTGTCCCTACCTTCAACAAAACTGCTGTACATTTCATGAAGGAATTCTTCTCTCAATAATCTCCTCTCAGGAGCACTTATCATTGACTGTTTTCGAACTTCAGGTGTAAAAGTAGGTGTTGTATCTACAGTATCAAAATCTCCCCATTGCTTTTTCTTCTTGACATTTGATTTTTTTTCATTTTCTTGATCAGTCAATAAGGACATTGATTCAAGATCTTCCTCAAGCATTTGCTCATTTTTGGTCTCTCTTATTTGATTGCGATCTACTGTCTCCAAGATTAAATCCAGAAAAGTCAAGTTCTCCCTATCAATTCCATCACGCTCATGTATTTCCTCGTCTGTTAAATACTGGCCTATTAATTGCTCATAGAGAAGAGGATTTCTGGACATCATCTGCTTTTCACTGAAATAGTCAGATTCATTTTGCAACTTCTGTAAAGCTCTGTACCTTCTGTTTCTCACTCTCTTATGCTTACACTCAGCAGAATGGTACACTTTAAGTTTTTCCACACAGTCTTGAAAACTACTAAGATTAATATCCTCTGGAACCTTAACATTTTCAAAATATTGAATATGATTTGGGGTCAAGTATTTTCCATACCGAAGCAAGAATTCCAAAGGGGATTTTTTATAAACATCATGTGCAATTTGTAGTTTATCTGAAGTTCTTGCCTCTTCTTCATTTACATGGGCATTTTTAAATGATATTTTGGTACATCTTACTAGATAATCAATTATATCGAATATAGGATCGACATCAACCTGGTCATCATCAGAATATTCAATATCGCTGTGTTCTTGAGATTTGTCCATTCTTGTTAATCTCCAAAGTTTGAAGAAACTAAAATCATTAACAATACATACTTATACTCGGCAGGATGGGTGGCTCTCTCTAATAATGTCCAAATAATTCTTAGTAAAACAATGTACTCGGCAGATTATTGTAGGTGTACTGTATCTCTTCTATTAAATTAAAATTTATTGTGCTTGCTAAATCTCATGATGAATGTTGATGATTTTTGACATATTTTTTTTACAGTTGCCCNAAAAAAAACCTCAAAAATTTTTTACCTCTTTTTTGTCGATAAAAATAGGTCTAGTTTCACCTATTTTAATATGTGCACTTTAACGTGACTCACACTGTATAATGAAGATTTTTCTCATGTATGGCTTTTACTGTTTTTTAATAATACAATGCTTAAATTAGTGGATTATAAAAAATCTTAAAAAAGTACTCGATTTATACAAAACATCGATGTTTTCTTCCAATACATCGAAAGAAATCGATGTACAGTTTTAAAATATCGAATCGAAAAAAACATCGATGTTTTTTCAAAGTGGACACCCCTACAGTTGCCCGAGATCTCATTGTCATTGGACGATAAACAGAGCAATACAGAGTATAAAATCATTGGCCAATAGATATCAGCAAATTGTACTTTTACGGCTTCCTATTGGTCAATGGTCATTGATTTTCACTAAAAATGCGCTTGCCACAAGATTCTAGTTTAGCAAGCCTATTGGCTAGAAATATAATTGTTGTACACTGTAGTAAAACAACAACTATATTATCCACAAGGCTTGAATCCAAAGCCGTAAAACATCGCAAAAAAAACTTCGCAGCCGCTGTCAGTGTCAAACTGTCAACTGTCAATCTTTTAAACCACAGATATGGATTAGAGTTTTAAACTGTCAGTCACACAAAAAATGAGTAAGGGGAAAAAAGTCTGCAAAATGTTTGTTTCGTTCGTCGTGCTTCGTGGTATTTATTTTCTCTAAAAGTGGAATTATATACTTTATGAATGTATGATGAATTTCTTTCTAGTGGTGAAATTAAGTGAAATGTTTTATCGTGACAATTCGTAATCATAATATTTACTAAACAAAGTTGAACTATTTACATTGCTGTTATCATGGAATCCTTCTTTAATATCAAGTGGAAATGGGAAGATATGTGTGGACCGACGGGTCTACAACCATGGAACGACGTGACAAAGGACTTCGGACATTGTTTTCAAGAATTGTTCTTACAAATACCCGTGTACTTCATAATTACCATCGTCTCTGGTTATTATGTAGGCTACAGAAGAGATTGGGTCGTCAGAGAGAAGATGCAAGAGCGAGCGATTATTTTACGAAGTTTTGTAGTGCTCTTTCTTCTGTTTATTCCTATAGTTCAGATATATTTCATCATAACCAAAGCGGACTCTGTTTTGTATCCTGTTGATTACTTTGTTGCTGGATCATCGTGTCTGGCGTGGTTGGTGCACTTTGGTTATGTATTGGCCTTAAAACATCGCCTAGGTTCTAGTGCGCGAGGTCCGACCATACAGCTAGTGTTATGGAGTATGTTGGTAGTGCTGAATGTTATTGCTCTTCGGAGCAGTATTCTGACTGGGGCAGCCTACACCTACATTGTTGCTGCGCTTTGTGGTCATGTTATGTATTTCTTTACACTTTTACCATCAAGCGACTCAAGGCCGACTTTTTATTCACCTTGCCTTGTGGGTTCACAACATTCACATGTAAGCAATGTTTTATAAGTATTTTTTAGTCTTAGTTGCTAATGAGTTTGAAAACTAACATAAATTATATCTATGATTTAGAGCGAGTACACTCCCCTCCTGCCCCACATGGATGAAGGTATTTTGGGAACTGCTATGCAGGGATCTGGCTGTTTCTCAAAATTGACATTATCTTGGTTAAATCCCTTGCTTGACAAAGGTAAATTTATTTTAATTTTAATTGAAACTTCATTATGACCTTATATGTGATCTAAAATGTAACATTTTTGTTTTAAAAGGTTTAGAAAACAAATTAAATGACCCTGAAGAACTTTTTGACATACCTGCCAAGTACCGCTGCTCCTATGTGGCAGCAAGAATGGACCATGCTCTTGTGGGCAATGTGGACCAGTACCAACAATATGCAGAGGTGCCACATCAGCCATTTATTGCATCAGGTAAATACATTAATAGAACTTATATCAGATTATTTATAAACACATTCCTTTTGTTACATAATATACCACACTGACTAACACTGACCTTACTCTTTACTTTATTATACTTAGGAAACAATACTGCAAGCAATTTTGTGCCGTAGCAAGCATGTTATTGCATTTTTTTAATCACAAACACCAATGTATTCAAAAGTTATTAAAGGTGGATGAACATATAAGATGTAAAAATCTTAGCAGAGATTTACTTAAGTCAGCAATAATTGAGCATAGTAGGGTAATAATAATAATAGCATAATAGTAGTAAACTTTACTAGATTTCATTAATTTATATCTCTTAAATCTTATGTTTTATTTTTAGGATATGGCTCAGTAGGAGAAACCGTGCCACAATCTTCAACCCCCGTGACGCCAACATCGCGAGTCCTGGTGCGGCCGCAGCGTCGGCAGAATGTGTCGCTGCTGCGCGCCTTGCACTCCTGCTTTGCTTTTCAGTTCTACAGCATTGGCATCCTGAAGCTTGTATCTGACATGGCAGGGTTTGCAGGACCTATTTTGTTGAACAGATTGGTTGCCTTTGTCCAAGATGAGAGCATTGACGAACATTTGGGGTAAAAATTCATTTTAAACGAATATGTATTTAATTAAATCAAACTAGACCTTATTTACAATTTTGTGATTGATTTAACATTTTAAACATTTACTTGCAGGTACACCTATGCTGCTGGTCTCTTGGTAGCTACATTAGTATCTACATTCTTTATTGTGCATTTCAACTGGTTAATGTCATTGGTTGGGCTTAAAATGCGTGGGGCGATTGTCTCTACTATCTTGAGAAAAACTCTGAGCGTGACATCTACCGTGTTGTCCAAAGAATTTAGTGTCGGTGAAATAACGAACTTCATGTCGACAGACACAGACAGAATTATCAACTCATGTCCCAGTTTTCATGCTCTGTGGAGTATCCCTCTTCAGGTTAGTAAATCTTAGTTTTGGCTAAATATTTTTTCTTCCACTAACCACATTATAAGATAAGATCGAGTTTTATACATCCTGTTTCTTTCAGCTGGTTATCACATTGGTTTTGCTATATCAGCAAGTTGGCATATCTTTCCTGGCTGGAGTAGCATTTTCTGTAGTTTTGATACCCATCAATAAAGTTATAGCAAACAAAATCGGCCAACTCAGCACTGAAATGATGAAATACAAGGATGCCCGCGTTAGTTTGATTAGCGACATATTGAAAGGGATTCGAACAATAAAGGTTCATGTTTGGGAGGATTATTTCTTGAGACGAGTATCTGGTAAGTTGTAACGTAATTAATCTTGTTTTTCTTGTGAATCTCCCTTCGTCTCTGCCTCAAATTAAGCGAAAACCATATTGGTGGTTTTCTTTAGCTTTTAATTGGAATTAAGCTTTTCTTCTTTCTTATTTTCATAACAAATAAAAGTTTTTAGTTTTTTTTCTAATCATAACGTGTTTCGTCAGTGGTTCGAGCGCAGGAGCTGAAGTATTTGCGCCTGCGCAAGTACTTGGACGCCATTTGCGTGGTGCTGTGGGCCACGACGCCGGTCATGGTGGCGGCTCTGACGCTCGGCACGCACGCGCTGCGCGGACAACCTCTGGACGCACCCACCGTAAGTGCTACTTATGACCGTTTTAACCATCAATCCCTAATTTTTAAGTGACCCCTATGAAAACAAAATTCCCTATAAGTGTTACCATAGGGGTCACTTAAAAATTAGGGATTGATGGTGAAAACGGGCATTAGTCTCACAATCGTAAAATAGAGTCGCAATCTATTTTAACTAAAATACAGCTTTATCACAGCTAAAAAAAAATAAGATCATAAGTTTCAATAATTTGTTTTTAAGTTTGTAAAAATTACCTGTACAAATTTAGTTTGTTATTGTTCAATAATTTAACAAATAGTCATTGGTATAAACTTATATTGATTAATACTAGCATCGAATAAATACCTTTCTTTCTTTCTTTCAATAATATTTTCCATGCATAAATAGTTTTCATATTAAAATGGTCCGATATTGTGACTTATTTACAGTCACACTCAAATCTGATATGATAACAAAACAAGGACATTAAGATTACAAATTAATTTATACACTAATATTTTTCAAATTATTTCTATCTTGTAGTGTGTTTAAAATTGGGGTCATGTGTCTTTAAATAATTTTTCATTTTATGTTGCAGGTTTTTACTACTGTAGCACTTATCAACATGCTGATTTCACCATTAAATGCATTCCCATGGGTGCTCAATGGACTCACAGAGGCGTGGGTCTCGATAAAACGTATTCAGAAACTTCTCGACGTATGTTCCATTAATAATTACTAATAACAAAAATAATAATAAAAAACCGCTTTGGCGGGCATTAATTTAATTATGTTAATTGGATCTAAATAAACATTTTGTATCCTTCTTCTAGCTTCCAGATAGTGATTACGAAGATTATTACGATAGAGTGAATACAAACAGAGATGAGGATAAAGTTATCATATTTAAAAACGCCTCATTTACTTGGGCGAAACCGTCACAAAAACCAAAACCTACTCCAAAGAAAAGAAAAAATAAAGGAAAGTCAAAGAAAAAGTTATCAAGAGTGAGCATTCAAAGACGCGATTCATCTTCTTCCGCAGAGGCAGGGACACTAGATAGTCCCTTTACATTAAACGATATTTCCCTTGAGATTGGTAGGGAAGATTTAATAGGCATTACAGGAAAAGTCGGCAGTGGGAAGACTTCCCTATTAATGGCTATAATCGGGGAAATGATAAAGAAGGACGGTGATATACAAATACCAGAGAATCTGAATGGTAAGTGATATCTAAATCAATTGCATTCACGAAGCTAAACAACACGTGAGTCATTATTTGTCGCCGGGAGTGTAGCTCATTTGCTTTAATGTTATTGATATCCATGATTCATACTCAATAGCTTTCTATATCCAGAGCTTGTGGTTAGTTATTAAGTTCAATTGAAAGTATGGTTGCAATATTATATTACTTACAGGTTTTGGATATGTTTCTCAGAAGCCATGGTTAATACGCGGCACAATCCG